GCAGAAAGCCAAAAAAAAAAAACAAAAAAAAAGCACACTTTTTTATTTTCCTTTTCCTTTTGCGCGCGCCCGGGTACCCCGGGCATCAGACGCCGGCATCACACCCAGGTGCCCGGCCCGGCAGGACCGCCTGGGCATGAGAATCTTCCTAGCTTTTTCACCCTTTCGGGGATCCACCTCCGATCTCTGAAAATCAAAGTTCTCCTCGTAAAAATAAAAAAAATGAAGTTATCGAATGACCGCGTTCTGGTGCTGATTCATCAGTGCAATGCATCAGGCCAGCACGGGATTTTGAACGGGTGCGGAAGCATGGGTCCCACTTCTCCGACGACGACAAATCCGACCGGTATCCGGTAGGCCGTGAAGAACCGGTAGCGCAATCAAAATTGGACGATTGCGGCCTACCAGTAGGCGGAGGTCTTTTGCATCGGTGGGAGTGGCGGTCTAACTTGGGAGTACGCCCGCATGGTATCATTTGCCAAGAGCTCCCTCAAAAACGGTGCAATGCATCAGGCCACAATTCTGGTCCCCGTGGTAATCGAAGACCACAATTTTGCCATGTAAAGGGGTGCGGACTTGGTCATTTTCATCGACAAATACGGGTGCTGAATCCCCTAAAATTATTACGGGGAACTCGCCATACTTAACGGACGTCAGAGAACTTTGTCCGACACACGTTAGGTCGAGCACAACACTTACTATTTTGTGAGCCAAAGGGACAGAGAAGAGGGTAAGAAGAGAGAACGGGACATAATAAGTGGGACTGCTGCTGGCGGCCTTCCTTTGGAGAGGAGATAGCAACAAGTCCCACGCCATAAGTAGAGTGGCATGGGAATCAGTGATTCAGCCCAAGAACGGGGGTGGACTAGGCATTGTGGATCCGGCCACACAATTCCAAGCCCTTTCGCTTTGCTGGCTCCAACATATTATTTTTTCTACATCATCCCCCTGGGTCCCCTTGGCTCTAGCACAAATTTCTGATCTGGCCCCGGAATCCCCGTCTGAGATCGATCCTAGAGTATGCCTGGAAGACAGGTATTGGCGGTTGCCAAGAAAGTATAGGAATGGGGATCCCTCTGATAAACAATGGGTGCGTCTCATACGCACGTGAAGGAAACTTCCCCCTCCACTTCGATCAACACATGAGAGGTGGGAAGAGATATTTAGGCAACCCCTATTCGGTAACCGCCTAATAACAGATTCAGGAGGGCATGTGCGAAACAGCTCGGAGGCTCCATGGAAAGGATGGGTCAAACATGGGGCCCGAAGGGTCGGGAATCTTTGGGATAGGGAGTCCGGCAATTGGAAGAGCATAGGAAGTATGCGTTCATGGCTGTGGTACTGCCATTTCACTGAGGAAACACTCAACGATCTCATCGAAAGCCTCCCTCTCCATTGGTTCACTATCCTTAGGAAAGGTCCATGTCTAAAGGAAGGGGACTTGGTGGGGTTACCCGACCGTGAGAAAGAAGTGGGGCGTGTACACCTTACAGGTCCTCAGGATGCACTAATAGAAGTCCTTACCATCCAAAAAGAGGGTAGACTGGAATGGAACCAACAACCCTTTGTATGGAAGGACCAAAAGGAGGTATATCGTATCAGAGTGCTTAAGGAGGAGTGCTGTCCGAAGGTGTGTTGCCCTATGACCCCAATTGAGGATCTCCCTCTAGACCCGGTAGAATGGCGATGGAGCCTAGGTAACCCGGTCCGGAAAGGAGGGGACAACTTGTTGACATTACACAATCTAAAAACCAAATCTGTCTACCGGATGATCAGACCCAAATGTAGATTGAGAGACCGAGTGGAGGACAGATGGTATCGCCATCTCAACATAGATCACAGTCTGCTTAAACCCATTCGATGGTTCGCTCACCATAGATGCAGACCCACCAAGATCTCGGCCCTCCAATGGCAAATCGAACATAGGTGCCTACCAACCAATGATTGGTTGATAGACCACACACGTTTGGAACAGCAAGGGAAAGTTCTTCCATGGTGCCACAAATGCTGTCAGAGCTTCCCTGGGACGAAACGGGCGGAGGCTATAGAACATATCTTTCTTCAATGCCCTGCGTCAGTCCTACTATGGAGAAGCTGGGATAGAATTTGGCGCCACATTGTCCCCAGCGTGACGTGGTCATGGGATTGGAGGGCCATACTCCTCGGACACCATCCCCCAATCCGGGGAAACACATTTATAGAAAATATGTTCAAACTGGGCAGGCGGAGTGTCTTATGGACYTTATGGTGGAGGCGATGTATTTTAGAGATAGAGGCGGCGAAGGTGGAGGACGGAGAAGCCATGGAACAAGTACGGACATTGGTCCAATTTGAACTGGAAACACAGTGGAAGGCAGTCAAAGACAAGCTCGACCAGTCTTGTACTTGGGGGGACATAAATAAGACCATCTCCCGCTTTAGTGAAGATTGGCTGGGGGGGGCCAGGGAGGGCTGGGTGGCAGAAATAAAGTGGTCCGGATTCAATCAGAGGGAAGAACCCCGGGAGAGAATAGCAAGGGACTACCGGCTGAACTTTCATGATTGGACCCAAATCGATCCGGCCGTCCCCTTACGGCCAGCCCAGGATTTCGCAGACCCCTTTCCCCCCCATCCACTATCTATCGTGGAAGTACTGCCAATGGCATGAACCGGGATGACAGGACGACCGTACACACAGCCCCTCTGTATTCTAAATTAATCAACACAATCCAGTCACTCGGACCAGTTAATTCACTCAGTTCATCCAGTTCATCCAGTTGCACTCAGTTGCAGTCTGCTCAATCAGTCCATTCAGTTCACTCAGTTTCCTCAGTTCATTCAATTCATTCAATTCATTCAGTTCATCAAGCTCATTTCAATTCAGCCAGTTCCCTCACCCAGTCTATTCAGCTCCTTGCCTCCCTTCTGAAAGAAAAGCTCAGATAAGTTCAGCAAGAGCCAGAAGGACTCGGATAGATGCAGAGAGATTCAGAAAGGAGTAGAAAGGAGCAGAAAGGAGCACAACAGGTTCAGAACAGGCTCAGAATAGACTAAGAAGGGCACAGAAACACTCAGAAGGATAAGATGGCGTGGGACAGCATGATAGCAGGACCAGAAGGGGAGGTTAGCATATTATAGTTGTAGTGTTCTTGTCTGATCCTGTTTCTGTTGCCTCACTGCGGAATTTTTGCTGAGTATCATATGTGTATCATATTAGTAGCAGACCCGGCAGATTGCTGCCATTTTTTCTGGTTCTGCTTTTGTTTCTCTTTCTGTTTTTTCTGTTTTTTCTGCTCTGGTTTCACGATTTCACTGCTTTACAGTCGACTTTTGCTGTTCTGGCGCCCTGAGGATAGTTGGAGGATGGCAGGGGACGGGGGATGGAGGGAGACTTCACTGGTGCCCCCCAGTGACTCCCCCCCCACCCCCACTACCCGGCCTCGCTGCAGGCAGGATGGGAAGTGTGGATTGGACATGGGACGCTGGACCCGGTTTCCAGCACAATGGCGCCACTTTCAATAACGTTCTGTAGTCCATTGATGTATTCAGGGGACGCTGGACCCGGTTTCCAGCAGGTGATGCTCCCCACCAATAGATGGAGCGGCCCGTCAGGCAAAGCCTCAATCCTGGTGGTTCTCTTACCACCACCAGGATAGAGGCCTTGCACCTGGGCCTTAAAAAAAAGAAAAAAAAAAAAAAAAGGACTGCTGATCCCGGAGGGGGCAGAGAGTGCACGGCACATAGTACTGACTCCTGAGGACAGCAATCGCCAGACTTAGCGGGGTTGTGATAATCGCTACATAGTACTGACGTATACCCATACATAGTGACAACATAGTGACCACATAGTAACCACATAGTACACAGGACAGTAATCGCCACCCCAGGCAGAGTGGACACTCTGCGAAGTATGAGACACTTCGAATCAACCATGGAGAGAGCACAGACAAATGCATGATGAAGCTTGCTCCAGTCAGCGAGACATAAGGAACAGACTATGCCCACGTTGGGTCTGGATATACTGCATTCTTGCGCATGCGGCAGTAAGGGAGGGGCAAATTGGTGAAAAACCCTGTGGGCCCGAACGTATGGGGGTAGGGGCAGGGCACAAATTTGTGCAGCTGTCTGAAAGGGGTAAGATGCAAGGGTGCAAGTGCAAAAGGGCATTCCTATCCATCCACAGCTTTTGGGGACCATTGAGCATTTTCATCATCTTTGAGGGGCAAAATGCAAATTTCCCCATCCGCGACCAAAGGCCCCGGAAGAGGCCCACCTCCACTACTGAAGGCCCCTGGGGAGTGCCGGATAGCACCCAGCCGAAACTAGTAGGACCATGCCACTTTTGCCATATTGTCTTAAGTCTCGTTCGAGAGACATTTGAGACTTATATCCTTTCGTAACCTTTCTTCTTCTTCTTCTTCTTCTTCTTCTTCTTCTTCTTTTTTTCCTTCTATTCTTCTATTCTTCTATTCCTCTTCTTCGTCTCTTTTCTTTCCTTTCTGCGTGTTTTCTTGTGTACTAGAACAGGATCTCTTCTGTAGGTCGTACACTCCTCTGTATCTACAAATAGAGATGACTCACTCAACTGGATGATGAGACCGAAAAAAACACAAAGTCAAAACGGAAGGAAAACATAACTGTGAATGCACGTAAAAAAAAAAAAAAAAAAAGTGAATGCACGTTGTGGTCTCATTGCGCACCGTGTAGGTCATACATGTTGATGCCACTTTCTTCAGATGGTAGTGATTGTAGGATTTTTGTAGGATTTGTTGCTGACCTGATGATGAATCTGGTCGTTAAGACACTTGAGGTATCGTCGTTGAAGTGACCGGCCCAGCATGCACAATGGTACATCATGCCATCACTCGCATTTCTGACTGACTTAAATTGAGCAACACACACATAAAATGAACGACACACACATAAAATGAAGGACGCACGCAGTAATGAAAATAAGAACATGTATGTCGCATACATCATAATGAAATGATTGACACATGTCAAGCAAAAAAGCCTCATCTTGCCAAAATGGAAATATGGGAACACGTTCAACAAAATGATGAACGCCGTTCTCAACCATCACCTCTCCTCTCTCTCTCTCTCTCTCTCTCTCTCTCTCTCTCTCTCTCTCTCTCTCTCGCGCGCGCGCGCGCGCGCGCGCACGTGCGCTTTCGCTCTCCACATCATATGTGGAACCCAACGGTGAAGCCTCATCTTGCCAAAATGGAAATATGGGAATACGTTCAACACAATGATGAACGCCATTCTCTCTCTCTCTCTCTCTCCACATCAGAAGTGGAGTCCAACGTTATATCCGAACTGGCACCACTACATCCGTGGAACCGGACTGCAATGACGGTGTACAGCGCACACTACGAACATGGGAAAACACCACCTGTAGGCTTCTTTCTACAGAAAGACAACTACAAGCGTGGAGAGGGAAAAATACTACAAACAATGACATCAGAAAATGTCATGCATACAGGAAGAAAGAAAACCTTGAAGCAAGGGACCCCATGCTAAGCTCTCTCTCTCTCTCTCTCTCTCTCTCTCTCTCTCTCCTTCTTCTTCTTCTTTCTCTCTCTCTCTCTCTCTCTCTCTCTCTCTCTCTCTCTCTCTCTCTCTCTCTCTCTCTCTCTCTCTCTCTCTCTCTCTCTCTCTCTCTTTGTGTGTGTGTGTGTGTGTGTGTGTGTGTGAAACAGCCACTATGCCTTATCAATCACGGGTGGCTGTCATGGTAGTCGAGGACCTTGAGCACGCGCCTCTTTTGGTGGGCCCGTTCGGGTTCCTGCGTGTTCGGGATGCTGGCGAAATTCCTCTATCCTGCCCGTCTTGAAACACGGACCTCCACCCTCCATGTGCCAGTTGTCAGAGGTCTTCCACTGCCCACTCCCAAGCCCACTGTACTCCAAATGATACAAAGCTACCATGCCCCCACCCCTTTTAAAATGAGCACACCCCAGTCTATGTCCGCCTCTTGCACATCCTTTTACCTATCAGCAGGCTGGACTGCCGCCAATCCCGACACTTGCCTCTGCTCTCTGGCCTGTCAATGCGGCGTCTGCCTATAACGAAGTCTGTACAACTGCCTCATTGCATACAAAGCCAGTCTCTACGTGGGAGCTGGTGCGATAGTGCTCTCGCTCATCCCGTGGCCATTGTTTTGTGCCTGTGCTTCTGCATTGTGGCCAGGAATGACCACATGCATCCCTGCACCCTGTGGAACAGACATGCTGCTTCCTGACCTGTGTAGCCCCATTGCTGATGTCTGTCCGTCATCTACATCTCCTGCCGCTGCAAATGCCTTGATAACCCTTCCCAGAACTCGCCCATCATCACAACCGGACACTATTGACACTGAGACGTACTGCCCTGTGTCGGGCTTGTTACAAGTCCGCCTTGTGTGGCCCTCCTTGGAACATCGACTGCAATGCACGGCCCGGACTGTGCGTCCTTCTACTGACCCATGAACGCAATGTTTGGGGCTTTGGACCTTCGGTTTCTGAATCGTGGGAGGTATAATGGCGAAGGAGGCTGCACCGTCGGCTGTGACAGCTCCCGGCCACTCTGACGAAGGTAAAGGCCTGACTGTACCCGCGTACGTGGACCGGTATGCCTCGGCAGTGAAATACTCGCTGCAGTAGTCCTCGGGTCGTAAACACCTCTTTAAAAGGACACAAGCAGCATGCAGGCAAGGGACACCCATCTTCTGCCACTTCATGCATGAGCATGTGCGACTGGCAATGTCGACAGTATGTGTCGAGGATGCACTCGACACTGTGTGTGTCGTGCACGTGTGCTCAATAGCCACCATGTTCCCTTCATTCGCCGCCTCACACTGCAGCAGGTTTGCCTTCTTGGGGACAATTTTGCCAGCCATGCGCATGCCCTCCGCATGACGGGCCAAAAACCAGCTGTTAAGCTTCATGTGAATGCTCTCCAACATCCGCACAGTGGGCATCTTCCTTGCAACCAGCAGACATGCACTCATGGCCTCACAGAAATCGGCAGTGAAGTGGCCGTACCGCTCGCCTGGGAAGAATGCCGTGACCCACTGCTCCTTCGGGCACTTCTGCCTGATCCACTCCACCGCACCCGTGTCAATGACCCCCATCGCCTGTAATGCCTCCTCATATGCTGTCTCTGTCATTGCCTGTGCAGCTGCCCACACCAACTGCTGCAAATCTTTGTGCTTGTGGTGGCGTGCCAAGCTTGCATACAAATGGCGGACACAATAAGCATGATGTGCATCTGGCAACACTGCCTCCATACTCGCCACGAGGCCCTTGTCGTGGTCTGAGACAATCGTGAGGGAGCGGCTCCCCAAGGCTGGCTGCATGCAAGAGTACCTGAGATGCAACAGGAACCACTCCCAGGTCTCCATGCTTTCACAGTCTACAACCCCGAAAGCAATTGGGAAGGATTCATCCTGAGCATCGATGGCGATTGCGGTGAGGAGGATGCCAGGGTACTTGGCCTTCAGGTGCGTTCGATTAAGCAAAAGCAGAGGCCTGCAGTGCGCAAAACCGTTGAGTGATGCCTTGTATGCCACGAAGAATCTCTTGATTCTTTGCGTCGTATTGTTTCTCTCCATGAAGCAGACGCTTCCCGGGTCAGTCTTCCACAAGACCCGCGAGTACGCGTCCAACAAGCTAAATTCTTCCTCTGCAGAACCCGAACTGCTGGTAGCTGCAAACTCCTTCCCACGCCACGCAGTGTGATATCCCACCCTCACACCAGTGGTGCGCTGCAAGTCGGACATGATGTCTACGGGGCGGTATGTTGGATGATCCCGCAATTGTGCAGCGATGCGCGTTGCCACCCACCGGCATGTGGCATGTTTGTTCCCCAGGTGGTCCATCACGCCGCTGCACGAGTGGGGCTGAAGCACACGGATGCTGAACCTGGGCCCGCCTCGAATGGGCGCAGCATGCAACCGCCAGGTGCAGTCCTTCGCCCTGCAAACGACGGTGTAACGCCGCGTCTCCGACTTCCTAACCATCATCTCGAAGTGGTACTGACAAGCCACAGACACGACGGCATCACGGAGCTCTGCCAGTGTCTCAAACTCCATCCCAACCCTCAACACATCACCCATGTCTCTGACACTCAGTGAAACGCCCTCGTGGACTGGCGGAAGCACAAAAGGCATGTGCTGTTGTTGGGGAGAGAGACTGATGTCACCGCTGTCTCCAGTCGACGAGGAAGCCTCTGTGTGTTGATGATCGGACAAGGACTGATCCATGCCTGTCGCATCCGGGTTGCATTTTCCCCCAGCCTCCGGCCAGGCTTGCCTTGTACCTTGTTGTGGCAAGGAATCCACAAACCCTAGGCAGTTCTGAGCCCGATCGCCCTCCGGAAGCCAAACGTTGCCATTTTTGTGACCATCACACTGCTCCTGAACATGATGGTCAACTGCAGGAAAGTCATCCAGGCCCTCCTCTGAATCATGGGGGATTTCTGAGGCTTGGCACCGAGCAACCTCTGCAACAGCCTTGTTTGCCGCACAATTGGCTGCTCTCACCTCTGAAGAGTGCAGCATAAACTTCCCTCCACTGACCGAGGACATGCCAGAGAGGGAAATTTCTGCGGCTCGGTGCTCTACATCAGCCTTGTTTGCTGCACTTTCGGCAGCTCTCCTCTCTGAAGAGTGCAGCATAAACTCCCCTCTCCCGACCAAGGACATGCCAGAGAGGGGAATTTCAGAGTCTTGGTGGCAATCAGCCTCTACAGTGGCCTCGTTTGCCACACGATCGGCAACTCTCATCTCTGAACAGTGCAGCATAAACTCCCCTCTCCTGGCCAAGAGCATGCCAGAGAGGGGAATGTCTGAGGCCAGGTGCCGATCAGTCTCTACAGCGGCCTCGTTTGCTGCACGATCAGCAGCTCTAACCTGTGAAGTATGCAGCATGAACTCCCCACCTCCGACCGAGGACACATCAGAGATGGGAATGTCTATGGCATGATGCTGATCAGCCTCCACATGCTCGTTTGCCAGATGATCAGCATCTCTTCTTCCCTGTGACGTGTCCACTATAAAATCTCCTTCCCCGACCAAGGACTCACCAGAGATGGGATTTTCTATGGCTTGCTGGTGATCGGCATCTGCAGCAGTTGGGTTTTCTGCACGATCGACAGCTCTCATCTGTGAGGTGGGCACCATAAACTCCCCTCCCCCAACCAAGGACACGCCAGAGAGTGGGGATGGCTGAGAGGAAGCATGAATCGAAGCAAGGGAGGTTCCATGAACAATCCCAGCCGTTGGATGCTCAGCTGGGTGGAACATCCGTGTGGCTTTCGCCCTCTCCACATCGTCTCGACTAATCCCCATTACCAGTTCAGTCATAAGATTCATCATGCCGTTCATGGACTTCCCTCCACCTTCGTCACCTTCCTCCATGCAACTGTGACAAATTAAGAGGCAGCGATCAGACTGTCGACTTTAGAAACAGTGACCATTGGCACAGCGCCAACCACCAGAGTCAATAATACCTGTCACACAGTGCACATGTGAAAACACACACACACACACACACACACACACAATCAGTTATGCATGTCTTTCCTTTCCTTTATTTGTTTACCTTTTTTGCTGTTTTCTTTGCATGTCACTGTTCCTCCTTTTTTTCTTTACTTTTTGTATGTTTGAGTGAGCACCGTTAAGAAGTGCCAAAGAGTAGGTGGTCTGTTGTTTGGAGTGCCTGCAGGACTCTTAGGGGAGCCGCTCCGTTTGTGATGTCTATGTGGTGCATATGGTCTATGGGTGATGATAGAAGTCTGTTGAGTGACTCCCTGGCTCAGCGGGCGGTGGGGAAACCAACAGTCTGCGGGGTTCACTCGCGATGTGAGCAGGTGACGTGCCCCTTCACTCCGTGTTGTCTGTGTTGCACCACTGCCTTGCTGCCTGGTCCTGCTTGTGTCGCATGTTGTTCATTGCAAGCTGCTGTGGCTGCAGTGTTAGTGTTGCTCTGTGCTTCCCTGCACTGCCCTTGCTGCCCATCTGCATGCCTTGCCATTCCCGTTCCTTGCGTGTGGAGAGGCAGTTAACGGAGGCCCTAAATTTGACCCCCGAACCCTCGTTTCAGTTATGGACCTGTTAGTCAGGAGCTGAAACTGGGGGTCCCCGTTAACCATGTGTGTGCTTGTGTGCCGTGTAGTGTGCCTGTAGTGTTGGTGTTGCCTTGTGCTTCACTGCGCTGTTGCCGTGCTGCTCGTCCACTTGCCTTTCAATCCTTGCAGTCGTTTTTGGCATTGAGCAGTTGGGTAGCTCTGGCAGCGTTGCCTGGTGCTTCGCTGAGTTGTTGCCTACTGCTGTGTTCCGCTTGTGGACAGTCTGCCTTCAACATGGGTCAAGGGGTTCATGACCCAAACCATCAATATGGGGATTCCGCAGATTGCCGCGGGTTCGGCCTCCTGATAAGCTGGTGCGCATCTGATGAAACAATCTATCATCAGTTTTTTTTCCCTTTTACTTTGCGTTTTTTGGTACTTTTTTGTCTGCCTGGTTGTTGTTTCTTTGCCTAGCTTCTTTCTGGCCTGTTCCTTTTCCTTGCTGCCTAACGCTGTTTGTCTGCCCACCCACCTCGCCCGTGCCCTCCAGCCTATGCCGCTTGCTGCCTGCCCACCTGCGTCCCCCATGCCCTCCAGCCAAGTAACGTGCTGCCTGCCCACCCACCTCCCCCATGCCCTCCAGCCTATGTCCCTTGCTGCCGCTTTTCGTCCAATGTCTTTGTTGCCTCATGCCTTTTGCTTCATTGCCGTTTGTTTGACTCTTCTTTTGCTGCCTCGTGTTGTTCCTGTCTCTTATACACATCTAGATGTGTATAAGAGCACCCACCTCCCCCATGCCCTCCAGCCTATGTCCCTTGCTGCCGCTTTTCGTCCAATGTCTTTGTTGCCTCATGCCTTTTGCTTCATTGCCGTTTGTTTGACTCTTCTTTTGCTGCCTCGTGTTGTTCAGGTAGTCTGTTTGCTTGTAGTACTTGAAGGATTGTCTTTCGACTTGACTCCGTCTCAGATGCGTATTCTTCTCCTGAGGTGTTGAATGTTTGTCTTTCTCTTGTTGTTTGTCCTTCCTCCTGTTTTTTCCCAGGGCTTTCTGTGTGGTCGAATGAGCACCTTTAGGAAGTGCAAAACAGTCGGTGTCGGGGTGTTTGGAGTGCCTGTAACACTAATATGGGGGCCGTTCTGTTTCGTGATGTCTGTGTGGGGCATATGGTCTACGGGTGATGACAGACGTCTCTCGAAGAGACTCCCTGGCTCAGCGGGTGGTGGGAACCAACAGTCTGCGGGGTTTGCTTGTGACGTGAGTAGGTGATGTGCCGGATTTTGCTCTCTGTTGGATGTGCAGACTGCCTTGTTTGTGCTCCGCCACTGCCTTGCTGCCTGTCATGCTTTGCAGCTTGCTGTGTTCACTGTGTGGTTTGCTGCATTGTTGGTGTTGCCTTGTGTTTCGCTGCACTGCTGCCTTGTCGCCTATCTGCATGTCGTGCCTTCCCCATTCTTTGCTTGTGTGCCGTGGAGTTTGGCTGTTGTGTTGGTGTTGCCTTGTGCTTCACTGCGCTGTTGCCCCACTAATCATCCACTTGCCGTGTCATCCATGCAGGTAGTTCTTTGACATTGTGCAGTTGGGTTGCTCAGGCAGTGTTGCCCGGTGCTTCGCTGAGTTGTTGCCTGCTGTTTTGTTCTGTTTGTGGACAGTCCAAGCTGGGTCAAAGGGTTCATGACCCAAACCATCAATTCGGGCATTCCGCAGATTGTCGAGGATTCAGCCTCCTGATGAGTCGGTGCAACTCCGACGAAACAATATATCATCAGTTCTTTTTTTCAGTCTTTGTCTTTACTTTGTACTTGTGATTTTTGTGTGTTTTTCTTTTTCGTTTTGCTTCTTTGGCCTGCCTGTCGGTTAGCTCATTGCCTTTTCCCTCGCTACCTTGGGCTGCTTGTCTGCCCACCCGCCTCCCCCATGCTCTCCAACCTATGTGCATTGATGCCGCTAGTTGTCTCTTGTTGCTTCTGTGTGCTTTTTGGTTGTATTACTTTGAGGGTTATCCAGGACTCGACTCACTCAGAGTGTGTCCTCCACCTAGGTGTTGTGATGGTATGGTGCATGGTCTTTTCCCATGCTGAGGACAACCTATGTGTTTACACACACATCTTCTCTCTCTCTCTCTCTCTCTCTCTCTCTCTCTCTCTCTCTCTCTCTCTCTCTCTCTCTCTCTCTCTCTCTCTCTCTCTCTTGCGCGCGCGCGCACACACACACACACACAGAGTAGAGACCATGCTATTCTGGCTGAGGGCTTGGGTTGAATGGGTTTTAGGACTCTTAGAACCCATTGAACCCAGGCAATCAGCCAAAATAGGCCTTAAGACTCGTTCGACCCACCCCACCCAGTCATCCAAAATAGGATGGGGTCCAGCTGTCCTCAGTCAAAATTAGCATGCCTCTGGCTATTCTGGTTATGAATCTGAAGATTCTAAAAAGGATAACCTGCTGGGATTGCAAGCTTGGACACCGTCTTTCCCCGGAGCACAACACAACGCAACCCTCATTTTGACTGTATGGGGCCCGGAAGGTAGCTTGTATACATTTATAATCAGGGAGCGCTGTGTTGGGGAAGAATCATGGTAGTGTAACCCGTTCCATCCCATCAAAGTTCGTTTGATCGACTGGACGGAGTAATACTACCATCTTCATTAAATATAAAGCCCAGCCAGTATCGCTGCATCTGGACTGCAAGTTGGCCCAAATACATTGGGTTCAAATACATCCAGCTTCCAGGCGGTCTGTCCAAAGACATCAACCTACCAACGGGCCTAGCGCAGTTGCTACACCCATGGACTGTTGAAATACAGACCCAAGTTTGAATCCAGATGCAATCAGATGAACATACTAAAATGATTCTGAATTACATGGGGCCGGTCAATTATGGCGCACCTTTACTATTCGTGCCCAAAAAGGAAGGAGAACTTAGACTGTGCATTGACTACCGAGGATTGAATTCCGTAACGATAAAGAATGTGGAACCCCTTCCTCGATTTGACGACCTTCTAGATCAATTGTAGGGTTGCAGATACTTCAGCAAGATAGATCTGAAGTCTGGCTACCACCAGATTGAGGTGCCCCCCCGCAATGTAATTTAATTGAATGAATAATTTCATTTAATAACTGAATTGGGAAGGGATCTAAAAAAGTGTCGGATAATAAGGCTATACTCAACATCACCCACTTCATGGAGAAAGGGGCATATATCCAGAAATATCTATCTATCCTAATCGTAAGTTGAGTTGGAGAGCCGTATGATAGGTGACTATCTAGTACCGAACACAATATCATGCGTACCTATGATAGTAACCACATCTGCGAGTCTGTGATGTTTCGACATAAAATCAAGCCCTTGTAAATGAGCAAAACGAGGTGCTCGAATTTTACAATGATAAGGACGATTAGTTCCGTTGCTAACTAAATATACACCAAATTCTCCTTTGGGTGCTTCTACAACCAGTTTTTCTATAAGTGCTCATGCGCCTATGGGGCAAAAGGCATGAAGCGTAAAATACGTTGCAGAATCAATATTCGGATGATTGATTCTTACTCTTTTTTTATTTACCCCTAGCCACAAGTCATCCCCGTATTTTGGCACATACGTGGGTTCGGTCCTCCAAGGCCCGTTAGGACTCTGTTCAACCTGCTCATGGCTAGACCACCCAGTTTCGGGTCATTTTAGATGACACTAAAACAAACACAAAAAAAAATTAAAAATACATATTTGATGATTATTAAAACAAACACTCTCAAAAAAAAAATAAAAAAAAATTGTGTTACTTCATGGTAAATATAGTCTGCTAGAATTTCTTCCATCCTCCACAAAGAAGTCAAAATCGACGCACTTAACAATCATTTGCTCTAACCACTGAGCTACTAAATTTTTTCTATTGTCGTATTTTTTTTATAGTCTTTTGAAAATCTATCATATTTTGATGAAAAACATCTTTTCTTTTTACTCGAGTAGTCTTATGCATGGTAAGTACTATAAGCTCCAATCATGGCCACTAATAAAATAAGACTCGAAACCAGAAACAAATAAAAATAAGTGGTATAAAGTAAATTTCCTAAAGTTTCCAGATTCGTCCAACTACGATGACATGAAAGTCATGGAATCCAGTAGCTAAAAAAAAATGTAGAGCCATACATCCCATCAAAAATGGTAAAAGGGGTGTCTACATATTCCATTCCTTGAAATGCAGTAAAAACTAAAGCTAGAAGAATAGTGGCTAATATACCATAAAGGGCTTGTTGTTTTAAACCAGCTAACATAGCATGATGAGCCCAGTTACAGCAGTCTGAACGGCCTGGATTATGAATTTAATGAAAAGAAAGCATACAGGTAGGGCACTGACGGCGCATTAAAACGAAGCGTAGAAAGATGCATAAATAAAGCACGTTCGCCGAATGGAGAATGGAATACATACCTTTATTATTTATAGCGATT